CACGACTGTCTGGGCTCAACGAACGCCGTTCAGACGAGCGTGTAGGACTGGGGCTGTCAATCTGCATCGCTTCTCTCGGCATCCGTCTGGACTGCGAGCTAGACCCAGATTTGCTGACACGCCTGACACCTCGGACTGCATTCTCTGTAGGCATCGGGCTGACTGGAGTAATCCGACCCGTGGTGGGGCCGAGAAAGGACCTGCGAGGCACTGAAGCTCACGCAGGAGACGGACGTGCAAAACGCGAGGCCTAACCTCGGGACGCTCGGGCCAACCCCTTGGCAGCGTGTCCAAGCTCGAAGGAAGCGTCGGGGCAACGTTTCGAACTTGAGCCAAAATGGCTACGGACGGGGCCATTGGGTGTTTTGGTGCTGTCTGAGCTAATTGCCGCAGCTGCTTGCGCGAACATGCGGAGGCGTTCCTGCTCGTTGAAACGAGTGTATACGGAGCGCATGGTCTCCGGGCTTGACCACCCACCTTGAGCTTGGATTATTTCGTCTGGAACTCTGGCATCAGCCTTCCACCAATGGGCCCCGCCTTTCCGCAGCGAGTGGGTGCCTGTAGAGCCCCCGGGAAACACAGACGCGAGCGATTTGCGCGCGGTATCGGCGGAAATCGCCGATGGCACTGCCTTGTGTGTGACCGAAAACAAGGGGCCATCGGTGTGATCTGGCCACAGCTTTGCGCGTGTGGATACCCAGTCCCGCAACAGTTGCACAGGACAAGAGCCTCCTATGCCGGGAAGCACGGGATGATGCAACGCATCCCGGCTCCGAACGGGTCATTATTTTGCTTCCTGATGAAAGAAACGGCGTGGGAGCCCTCAATCGTGAGATCCTCCGCCGCGAGGGACCGCATCTCGGCGGACCGCCGCACGCCGAAGAAACATAATGCCGCAGCAGCCGCGTCCCGGACGCCCGCGGGAGAGTTGACACCGCGGCGCGCCCGCACGTAGTGCAAGAGTTGCATTAAAGACAACGGTTCTTTGGCCCGGGACAGGGTGTGGCCTGCCCGTTTTTTGAGGCCCTTCCAAAAACGCGCTGCCCGGTCAGACCACGCTGAATCGAACGGGTCAATTGGGCTCCGCTCTTGATGCCACGCCCGCAGTGCCGCGCGAGCGGTAGAGATCGTGCCCCACGGTTTGCCATCCATGGGGGCGAACAGGCACATAAGCTTTGTGTCTGAGTCGCACGGTAAAAGTGACAAGCCAGATGCCGTCTCTGCGTGGTTGGCCACAGAGCGAAGCGCGGCATCGTAGCGCGCGTGCGTGGATTCTTCCCACGCGGCGCGTATGCACGAATTCACCGTGGCAAGCGTTCTAGCTGGGAACGCCCGTTGGTCGGCAGTCGGGTCCGTGACCGCTAGGATGTTCAGAGTCACCTGGAGGCCGGCCAGATGCCGCGAACCGGGCCTGTGTGGCCCCGCAGTGGAGTGCCGGACCAAAGCGCTAGGCGCGCCACCATCGCACATTGCGCGTTGGGCGGGGCCCGCTTTGGCTAGCTGACTGCCCGCAGCCGTGGCGCGTTTCACCGCGGCCGCGGTCTCTCCCGGGGTTTGCGTTGCAAGTTGCGCAACGCCAGCCCAGGCAGGCTCGCCGGCGTCACTCTTGGTTGGTCGGGCCCCCCCGTGGCATTCAGAAGAGGACGAAATCGACGAACCCGGCTCACTTGCGCGATTTGCATGAGTACCGGGCCCTCCTGCGCCGTGGAGGACGGCGCTGGGCCTCCTTGCCGGGCCCTCCTCCTGAGCACCGCGGCCAGCCGTGGCGGCAGCGTCCGTGGCGAAGTCATCATGGCACAGGAAAGCTGGGCCGATCCGGCGGCGTTTGTGGGCCGGAGAGAGCGGCAACTCCATCGCGGCAAATGGGTTTGAGCCGACGCCTACGTAGGGTTCGGCGGTCCGTCCGTGGTATTCGGTCTCGTCCTTGGCGCCTGTGGTCCGCGGAATCGTTTTCTGGGTGGGCTGGTGTGGTCGGCGCGCCTCCAGACCGATTTGGATGACTACCAAATACATGTACCAGCGCATACTCCAAACGTGAGAAGAACAATCGTAAGTCTCCCCCTGTGGCGGTGACAGCATGCACCTGGCTTGAATCCAGGTGGGCCCGAAGATTCACACCCATAAATTTTCAACCGAAGCCAAAAACAGAACATGCGATGGCTCAATCTTCGGATTTTCCTTCCCGCGGTCCCGGCCCCGAACGCTCCCCGCAAACGGGCCAGTTTCGCCCGACTGGCGAGGCGCCCTGCCGCCGGGGCCACATGGGGGGGGGAAGGACGCGTGAGAAACATGCGATGGCTGCATCTTCGGATTTTTCCCCCCCCCGCGGTCCCGGACCCCACGATCCCCGCTGACAGGCAAGTTCGCCAGCTGGCGCAGCGCCCTGCCGCTGGGGGTGGGGTCGCGGAGAAGGTGGGGGAGGGTGGACAGGGCCAAAACACAAGCTTAGAGGCAGAAGCATCGGTTTCAAGACCTGGCCTCTCCAGGGGCGAGCGAGCGCGAGGCCGGGCAGGCGACCCCCCCGTCGTCGCCACCATCGTCGTCGTCGCCGTCCCCGTCCTCTTCTTCCCCCCCTCCTGTCCTACTCCTGACCCCTCCCAACAAGCATCGTCTGAATGTGTCCCCCCGCGTTGGGGCGCGCTCCGGCTGCGCGGCCGGCGGCGCGCCCGTCACGGAGCAAACGGGCAGGGGCGGGGGATCGGGCACAAATGAGGGGGAAGCGAGGGGGGGGGGAAGAGGGGGAGGGGGGAGGAGGGGGGCGCCAGAAGTTTTTCCCCGGGGCCCGCGGAAGACTGCGGGGGTGCTTGCCGCGGAGCGGCAGCGGTGCACGTTGCGTACGCGTGTACGCCGTAAAAAAAAAAACACTGACCTGCAGAAGGCGCGGGCGGATGGCTCGGCAACAAGGAAACCTGCCCAAGAGGTCCCGGTGTGGATATTGATGAGTCGTGCGTTTCCTTCGGTTTCCTGGCCCGGTCGCCCCTGCGAGCTTGCTGCTACCTGCGCCACGAGGCGCCCTGGGCAATATGTTGAAAAAGTTGTTAAAGAACAGACGGCCCGGGCGGCGGGGCGCGGGGGCCGGGGAATCCCTTCTAGTGGTTTATGTATGTTGGATATGAATGGTATGTTGTGTTCGTTGCGTTTCCCCGGCCCCGTTGCTGCTGCGGATTACAGTTCAGCTGTACTTGCAATCCTGCGACCAGTGGTACACGCCCCCGTGAGCCTGCCCGCGGCTACGCACCGCGGGCACGGGAGGACGCATTTGTTTTTGAGGTCGCGGCACTGTTTAAAGGTGTGCTCTACGACGCCCTTGCCGCTGAAAAGAAAGTTTTTGCACACCTCCCGGCTGACTTGGAGGGCTGCCTTTTTGAGGCCGGACTCTTTGAAGCGCTCGTCGAACCACTGCTGGCAAAACTGCGCCGACTGTCCCGGCGCGACAGCAGCTAGGCTGGCCTTCATCTCTCGCGCAATCTCTTTGTGACTGGGGGCCGGCGGCGTCCCGGGAATTGCCCGGGGGCGCGCTTGCGGAGGGCCCCCCGCCGGAACGTTGGACCAGCGGTTGGCCTTCAGCGCGGGGCCCGCACGGGGCTCGAACCCCGTCGCGCTGACCTGGGGGCGGCCGCCGAACGGAGTTGTGCCCTACGGATCCCCCAGGCGCGCCGCTTTCGAAGCCGATTGCGGCAAGTCGCTGCCGAACCGCTTCAGGCTGTCTGCGCGGCTCAGGTTGGCGGCCCCGGTCAAGAGCGCCACTTCCCCGAACACCAAGTCCAGGCCGAAGTCCTTGAGGAGGACTTCGTGGTCGAAGGCCTGGGCCGCACTCGGTTTGATTGTGCGTTTCTTGAAGGCCTTGATGGTGTAGTAGACCCACTCCATCGCCTTGGCTCGCTGGGCCTCCGTTTTGAGGGCGTTGGCTTTGGTGCCTGTGAGGAGGGAGGTGAACCTCTTCTCTGTGAGGTGGTACAGCACGAGGATGCCGCGGCTGAGGGCTCGGACGTTGGGGTCCTTGTCTGCTTTAGCTCTCTCTCTCTCTCTCTCCGAGGTGGCACCTGGACTTCTCGCTGGACCCGCCCCTCTCTGCGAGGCACAAATCCTTCCATTTCGTGCGGACTGCGTGTTTCATGGTGACACGTTTTTTTCAGAGCTTCCAACTCCTTGTTCTCCGGGCGCGCTGCGCTCAACCCCCACAAAGTGGCCGCGGGGTTCCCAGACTCTTCGATGGCGCCCCCGGCTGCCTCGACGCTGTCCGGGTCGACCGTGAGCGCCCCCCACGCCGCTTTCCACTGTGAAACCGTGAGGTTCCGGAGGGCGGCCCGCCAAGGGTATTCCGCGTCGGCCGCCCTGTTGTACTCGATGGCGAAAGCCTTGTGGATGACGCCCCCTGGCTTGGAGGGCTCCTCGACGGCTGCGTAAACGGTCCCGCCCGGGAGGGTGGCCGTGGCGAGCTGCTCTAACCTTTTCAACGACTGAGTTGTAAATCGTTCCTCCGGGCTTCGACTCGGCCTCGATTGCCTCGGCGATCAACGCTTTGACGCGATCTTCGCCCGCCATGCTGCTGCGCAGGCGGAGGCGGGCGGGCGCAGAAAGTGGGCCGGCGCAGTTGCTCGGCGTTCGGGCCGACTGGCGCAGGATGCGCGCGCCTTTCCCTGGCATGGGGATCTTCTTTCCTGCTCATCTCCCGCCTCCCGTCCCCCCCTCTCCTCCCCCCTAAGAACATTCTCCTTTTGTCCTGCCCATGTCATTCCCTTACTTCCCCGCCAACGGTCATCGTCTGACGCGGCCCCCACCGAGTCAGGGCCGGATGCATGTTCGAGGGAGGGGCGGGAATTTGGGGGAGGCTGGATGGGGGCGGGAGGGGAAAATGGGGTCGGCAGGAGCGGGAAGGGAGGGGAGGGGCGTGCCAAAAATGCTGCGCGCGCGGTGTAAGTGCTCACGGCGTGGCCGCACCTGCTGCCCCTTATTCCCCCTCCAACTGTCATTGTGTTTTTGTTGTTGTTGTTTTTTTTGACAACTACGAGAGACTACGCAATCTGCGCGATCCTCGGTTATGCCGGTCTGGTTTCCAGCTGGCGAGGACCGAGTAGCGGAGGTCTGCGCGGGGCCCGCGCCGTAGCTGACCCTCTGAAGAGAGCCACCTGAAGATATCCGAGCGGGGATCCCAGGAGCGGACCCGGCGCCAGGAGGACAAAACGCCCGCGCGGAACTACGGAGTTCCTGCGTCCTCCGGCAGCAGTAATAAAATTTTGATGGCCGGACGAGCTTTTCGCGCAGACTTGGAAAAGTCCAAGCATGCCTGGGCTAGCGCCCGTGGCGGGTGAGCCCAAACGACGTGCCCGTCGAGGCTGCACTCGAAAGCTGTCAGCTCCGGGTATCTCCACTCTGCGGCTAGAGCGGACAGCCCGCGCCTGTCGGCAAAGAGGCCCAGCGTGCAGGTGGCGCTGCATCTGGATTGCACTTCCAAAAACAAATTTTTACGCAGAACAGCATTTCTGAAGGGATCGTCGGCCCAGGCGGCTGCGAAGCCGGAGCCCCGAGAGCCATTGTCAGCCACCGCGTTGAAGCGGCCGGGGAAATGCGCCGCGAGAGCCCAACACCCAGACGCCCGTTCGGCGTCTTCGAAGCATTGAGCAAGTTGTTCTAAGTGCGGCAGCCGGCCGTACCTAACGCTGACGTAGTGGACGGCACAAGTGTTGTCCATTCTGAAGACGACCCTCCAGCCTCGGAGGACAACCCCTTCACGTCGCAGACATTCAACTGCCACCCACAACTCTTTGTAGTTGATGGCGTCGGCCGCGGAAAACTGCTCTTGTGCAGCAGAATCGCCGGGCCAGGTGCCAGAAACAACCGCCCCCGAGTTGCAGAGGTGGTAGCTCCAGCCATGGTCGCGCGAGGCGTCTGTTTCGATCACCTGCACCTTGCCGTCTGCTGCAAGCGCGCGCCAGTTGGCGAACTCGTGGGATTTGTGCCCGCACGACGACAAGGCGCCCCCTTCGCAGAACAGGCGTCTGCGCGGAGGCGTGGCGAAAGTTCGCATCAACCACGCCAGTGCCTGCCGGGTTGTCGGACAGGCGTACTGGCGGGTCGGCGTGAGGGGAGCTCTGCCAAGCTGAGTACACCCCGGCAGCATTCAGGTCGGCCCAGATGGGGTGCAGTCTGCGCCGGGCCTGCGGTAGTAATTCCGCAAGATGGCTGGCGACTCCTGCGGCCGAAGCGACCTGGCGACTCCGCAAGGAACGGCCCATGTCAGCCTCGAACACATCTTGGCAGACGCGCGTGTGTTTGTCGCACTTCTCTTGCGTGACAGTGACTACGGCTTCGGCCTCGTCGAAGGTCCGGCCGATCCACGTCTGGCGGGTCGCTGGCCCTTTCACGCCCGAAGGTTTCGTGCTGACGGGTATGCCGCAAGATAGAAAGAATTCAACAGCATCGCGCAGCTGGCGCCATGCCTCGTCTCTCGAGGTGGCCGCGCCGAAAAAGTCGTCGACGAAGTCCAGGAGGTCCACCCCCGTGCGTTCTTTGAGTAGCCGAAGGACCTCTTTGACAGAAGCGTCGTTGATGCCCGGGGCACTTCTGAGGCCGAGCAAGAGAAAGTTGTACTTCCCGAGCTGCCGCGTGCCGGGCCTGTAAAAACCGAGGAAAAGGGTGTCAACCTCGGCCACCCTCCAGTTGAAAAAGCAATCTTGGAGATCCAATACGAACATCCACGATGTGGCCGTGAGGCGTTGTATCGCGTCTTCCAAGGTGCTGTAACGAACCCCGATATCAGGGATATGTTCGTTGACTCGCCCTTTGCGCAAATCAACGATGAGGCGAGCCTTACAACATTGCTCGTCTGGCAGATCGTCCGACGCACCACCCCGCGGTTTCAGGAGAAGTGCGCACGGATTCACGCTCAGACCTGCCGGCTTAGGTTGGCCAGGCGGATACAAGTGCACCTTGCCAAGTTTTGCAAGGCGGTTGAACTCCTGCTCGGCCCACGGCTGGTGTTCCAGATACGACAAGTGATTCCTAGCCTGCTTGGGGCGGACCCCTGATGCGTCGAGCTGCACGCCGTCCAGCCACTGAGACAAGAATTCTGGTGACGCCCCGGACTGAGCGAGAAAGTCGAGTCGGAGTGTCAAGCCGGGAATGTTTTGCCACCCGTGCAGCGCATCGTTCGCATGGCGGATACTTGGAAGCAAAAGCTCCATGCTGAGGAGGTCATTGAACCACTAGTTGGCAGACGCCCGATGCTATAAGCCAAATGCTGCGGCGAGGGTTGGGTGGGGATGGAGGGTTGGGAGGGGATGGATAGCCCGATGCGGTCGGCGGCCTGACAGCGGCACCCTTCTGCGATCGAACCTCGGGGTGTACGGTCCCCCTCCTTCTCCCCTTCCCCTCCCCCCTTCCTCCTTCACAGGCCATGGGGGGTGGGTGAGGAGAGGATGTTCCGGAGGAGAGGGGGGCGGCTAGCGAGTTGCGCTAGCATTCTGGAAGCGGGTCTCTTCCGCACGTCTCTCCGGAATCCGCTCCGGGACTGATCTAGCTCCGACCTCTCGTCAACAAAGCGGCGCATTGACCTTGCCCTCCCCTCCTTTCCATAGGGGGAGGGCGGGTGAGGGGAGGGTGTGTTGCAGAAGAAAAGTCGGCGAAGTTGCGCCGGCAGGTGGGGGGCGGCACGTTGAGGCCCCATTAAGACCCCCCGGGTTAGGGAATGCACCCCCTCGAGTTGCAGTTGTGCCATCGGCTGCGCGGGGACGGCGAACGCCCCGACCGCGGAGCTGCCACGGCGCCTGCGCCACAAAACACGTGTACGGATCCAGCTGACGACCGAAGAGGACAAGGATGGGATGTTGCGTGCCCCCAACCCCGAAGCCCCTTTCCCGAAAGCAAGCCCCCTTAGAAAGTCGCCCTCCGCGTTCGTCCGCGTCCAGTTTGGCGCGGGTCATCCGACGTCCGCGGGCGGAGCACCCTGCCCACGAGCCAGCGTGCCCCCGCCGCGCCGCAGGTGCCAGACCAGCTGGCAGCCCAACGCAAGAGGCCCCCTGGGGACCCCTGGTGCGCCCGCGCGCTGCGCTGGTCCCGCGCAGGAGGGGTCGTCAGGAGCGTCGTCGACCAGGGCGACGCGTGCGTGGTCGGGGCCAGGGGAACAGGGCGCTTCGTCTTTCGTCTACCCTGCCAGGGCCCACTCTGCGGGAGCACTGTCGTCGCCCTGCGGGGGCGCGTATCGCCCTTCGGTCACCAGGCGGCAGATGGCGGCAGCGTCTGCTTCCTCCAAAGACGACACGGGGAAAAGGAAAAACGTCTGGATTGACTCGCAGCGCCCTGAAGCATGGGTCCCTCTCAAACCGCGGCCCTCGTGCCCATCGTCGTCCTCATCGCCCTCGTCGTCCTCATCATCAGCATCGTCATCAATGTTGTCTTTATTGTCCTTGTTGTCTTTATTGTCGTCATCGTCGTCGTCTGACCTCCATCCTCCACCGTCCATCGTCCGTCGTTGGTCGTCGTCCCCGTCGTCTGCGCTATATGTCTTTCGTCCTCCGTCGTCGCGGGGATCCCCAATACACAGCTCCGTCCGTGCCCGCCCTGCACCTCCCTGGCCGTGGAGCACCGACGTCACACCAGAGGAGAAGAAAGAGGGAATGCACACAAACGGTGCACGAGTGTCGGCCCCACGGCCAAGCGAAAACCGTGGAAGCGCAGAGGGAGGTGGTGGCGACGGCGGCGGGGGCGAAGAAGCCGGAGGAAGGAAAGGAGGAAGTGGGCGAAAAGGCAGATGCCTGAACCACTCAACACCAACCACAACACCCAGTCATACGACGTCGCGATTTGTTTCACAACGTGGCTCCCCAGAGGTCTGGACCCCTTCCCCAGGACCGGCCTGCAAACCTGAACCGTTTTTCGACGGTCCTGGGGCCCCCAAGAGACCGAACATAGGCAAAAACCTTCCGTCCGCACTTCCTACTCGCGAGGATGTCCAGGGGGACGGGGGGGAGGGCACGGCGCCAGCAAGCAGCACGCTTCAGACCACTTTCTTCCCACTCCTGCGGAGCCGGCGAGCACGCGGACGGACCCGATGTCCAGGCGCCGAAGCGCTGGGCGACGCGCGCACACCCAGACCTTCGGGCGCCGCGAGCAAGAATACAGCGGGCGCCTCGTTTGTCTCAGTCTTCACGCCTGGAGGCCGCCCTTGAGGCCCCGAGGCTCCCCTGACATCATCTCCTTGTGAAAGAAGTCAGGGTGGAAGGTGTCTGCTTGCGTTCTCGGCCTCCCTGGGGCCCTCACCGCCTTCCAGGACCAGGAAAAAAACAAGTTGTATGAACAAACAGCCTCGTGGAAAGGGTCCAGACCCCTTGGGGGCCATGTTGCGAAAAAGTCACGACGTCGGATGTCTGCGTCTCGAAAGACGAGAGACGGGGGCTTTGGGCGCGAAACGGGCCACCAGACCCCGGCCGTAAGGTCCAAGGAGGGCCCGCCAAGTGAGAAGATCGCGACGCTGAAGGTCTAGGAATCTGCAGGCATGCTGGCCGCCTCCGTCAGAAGGCCCCAATGCCAGACTGGACGAAAAAGGGGGGTAGCGAAAGGAGGGGGTAACGAATCACTTGCCTACAGCTGGCCTGCCTGGCGCCTCTCGGCGCCTCTCGGCGCCAACGTATCGAGGCCGAACCTGCACGCTGCTGATCTCGTGCGCACCCCCGGCCCCCCTCTCGCATTTCCCGCCCCCCTTCGTCCGACCCGAGAGGAGCGGTGCGAGAGCGCAGCCGCGCGCATGGTGGTGCCGCCCCCGGCGCTGCCCCGGCCTGCGCCGTGCGCACAGAGCGCGGCTCTAGCCCGCGGAGGTCTCCAAGTGTCTCGGGAGATAGGGAGAAAGGGGGAAGCAGGAGTGGGGGGAGGGGGCGAGGGAGGAGGAGGAGGAGGAGGCTGTAGCGTCCCGAAGAAAGCTCCATCCACAATCATCGACGAACCCCCGCACGTTGCGGGAGTTCAGCTGCGAGACGCGAAACGCGGGCGAAATCCGCCGCCTCGGAGTCCAAGGGCACCCATCGCTTCACCCTCTCCAATTAATGCGGAGGAAGCGGTGGAAGTGAGAAATGATAGCAACAAGCCGCAGCCGAGGAAGGGAGGAGGATGAGGAGGAGGGAGGAGAAGCAGCAGAAGAAGGAGGAGGAAGAGGAGGGCGGAGGAGGAGGAGTAGGAGGAGGAAGAGGAGGAGGAGGAGGAGGAGGAGGAGGAGGAGGAGGAGGAGGAGGAGGAGGAAAAGGAGGAGGGGCGGAGGAGGAGGAGAAGGGAGGAGGAGGAGGAGGAGGAGGAGGAGGAGGAGGGGAGGAGGAGGAGGAGGAGGAGGAGGAGGAGGAGGAGGAGAGGAGGAGAGGAGGAGGAGGAGGAGGAGGAGGAGGAGGAGGAGGAGGAGGAGGAGGAGGAAGAGGAGAAGGAGGAGGAGGAGGAGGAGGAGGAGGAGGAGGGACAGGAGGGAGGAGGAGGCAAACGATCCCGGGTACGCCCGGACTAAAGGCCCTGGCCGGCGCACCCCCTCCCCCGGGAGCGGCCGCCTTTTGCGCGTCGCTCTCGGGGGAACCACCCCGTTTGAAGGAAGGTGGGGGGGGGCGCCGGCTCCCGATCAACGAGAGTCAGCCGCGCGGGGAAGTTTCGCGGCCGCCTGGGGGAGGAGGAGGACGACGACGACGAGGAGGAGGAGGATGGGGACCAGTGTAAACCCAAGAGTGATCAACGATTTTGGAATAAAGCCTCCCTCCAACCTCCCTCCTCGCAGGCCCCTACAACGGTTTACTTCCCCTGAGGGAACTACATCGTTTGAAGAGAACCGTTAGAAGACCCTGAAGCATGCAAAAACATTGTTCTCGAGATTCCAACGCCACGGGTCCACCTGACTGTTGCGTTATGGCGATCCCGAATCGAACCAAGACGACGTTCCTGGCACTTCAAGACCACGAACCAACGTAAATGCTGCACCCTCATAATCCTGAATCATTTCTCCAAACACTTCTGGTACGTTGATCATGGCAAATCCCCAACTGCCTGGTCCACCAAGGGGGTCGAACATCATATTAAGGATCCGCGGCGCGAGTATGATGCAAACTTGGCGTGATGATGGTAATGGTGGTGATGATGATGATGATGGTGATGATGATGATGACGTTGGCGCTGATGATGCCATGTGATGTCGGTGGTCATGATGACGATGGTCGTGATGTCGGTGGTCATGATGTCGGTGGTCATGATGACGCTGATTTTGCTGATGATGTCGGTGGTCATGATGGCGACTACGATGGTGGTGATGACGACGACGAGTTTTTCCGCTCGCAACAGCAGCCGCGACGCCGCGTTGGCCTCACAGGACGCGCCAAAGGCAGCGGCACGCCAGAGGCAGTGACTCGGCCACGCCAGAGGCCTAGGCAAGGCAACAGCTGCCGCGGCGCCGCGTTGGCCTCAGAAGACGCGCCAGAAGCAGCGGCACGCCAGAGGCAGTGACTCGGCCACGCCAAAGGCCTAGGCAAGGTTTCCCCAAGGGTTGCTCTGATCCTGGCCGCTTCCTGAGGCCACTCCCTGTTGGGGCGCTGTCCGTGGCGGGGCTGCTTCGCCCGCGGCGGGGCGCTCCCATGGTGGCGGGGCGCCGCGCCCCTCCTGCGTCACCCAGTTCGCCCATGCGATGAGCATGCCCTTGTTGCCTGCGTGCGCGCGCCAAGCAAAGTTATCGGAGTGTTTGTCGAGGAAGGCCGTCAGCCCCCCAGGCATTAAAAGCTCATTGAATGTTTCCCACGGGCGCTCGTCGCGCCAACGCACCTTCTTCCGGGAAATCCACGACGGGTCGAACTCACCGCCGCGCGCATTGAGAATGTCTTCGACGAGTTGAACCAAGCGCGCGTCAGCGCCATGCGCGTCAGCCTCCGAGCCCGCGCCCTGGAGCCGCGCAGGGGCGCGCACTGGCAGCGCGCGCCCGCCAGAGGCAGGGTCGGCGGCGACGTGCTCGGGCAGATTGGCCACGAGCACGTCGGGCGTCACCTTCCAGTGCACCGGCCGGAGCACAACCTGGCCTGGGTTTTCGATGGCGAGCGAAGCGACGGCTCGGAGGCAAGCGAATTCCGACGCTTCGTCTTTCGTCTCGCTTTCCCCGATCGCAACGAGCCGACGGCCATCGCCAGGCGCAGAGCTGTTCGGCAAAGTCAGGGTGCACCGCCAGCCCGCGCCAGAGGCAGCGAATTCCTTGCAATGTGTGACGGCTGGGACCAAAGCGCCTCCGTACTTTTTAGGGCGCGTCGAGGCATGGTTATTCAGCACGGTGCGCCAGATGATCTTCTTGTCGCTGGCGCGTTGCTCCAGCAGGTACGCCTCGACCGCCTCGACGCGCGCGGCCTCGAAGTTCGGCCGCGGCGCCGCCATGGAAACCGCGCGGCGCGCGACGCGCCAGAGGCAGCGTCTTCGCGCACGGCGGAATAAGGCGCAGCGAGTGCGCTAGCGGCGAAGCGAGGAACGCTGAGCAACAGGGGGTTCGAGCCGAAATGTGACGCAGGGTCTCCTTTGATTTTGCTCGGGCCCTGTTGAGTTGTCCCAGGGTCTCGTTTAATGTTGGCAGTGTCCTGTTTAATGTTTTTTTTTTCTCCTAGGGTCTCGTTGAGTTTTGGTAAGGTCCTCTTTCGTTTCCCTGGGGTCTCGTTAAATTTGCTAGGGTCCTGTTTAGTTGTCCTAGGGTCTCGTTAAGTTGTGGTAGGGTCCTCTTTCGTTGTCCGAGGGTCTCGTTAGTTTTGCTGGGGCCCTGTTTAGTTGTCCGAGGGTCTCGTTAAGTTTGTTCTAAGGTCCTCTTTACTTTTCCGAGGGCCTCGTTTAGTTTTGCTAAGGTCCTGATTAGTTGTCCTAGGGTCTCGTTTAATTGTGGTAAGGTCTTGCTTAGTTGTCCTATGGTCTCGTTTAGTGTTGCTAGGGTCATGTTTCGTTTTCCTAGGGTATCGTTAAGTTTTGCTAGGGCCCTGTTTAGTTGTCCTAGGGTCTCGTTTAGTTTTGGCAGGGCCCTGTTTAGTTTTCGTAGGGTCTCGTTTAGTTTCGCTAGGTCATGTTTAGTTGTCCTAGGGTCTCGTTTAGTTTTGGTAGGGTGATGTTCAGTTTCCGAGGGTCTCGTTTAGTTTTGGTAGGGTCCTGTTTAGTTCTCCTACGGTCTCGTTTAGTTTGGCTAGCGTCCTGTTCAGTTGTCCGAGGGCCTCACATAGTTTTGCTGGGGTCATGTTTAGTGTTCCTAGGGTCTCGTTCAGTTTTTCTAAGGTCATCTTTACTTCTCCTAGGGCCTCGTTTAGTTTTGCTAAGGTCCTGTTTAGTTGTCCTATAGTCTCGTTCAGTTTTGGTAGGGTCCTCTTTCTTTGCCGTGGGTCTAGTTTAGTTTTGGTAGGGTCCTGTTTAGTTTTCCTAAAGTCTCGTTTAGTTTTGCCGCGGTCCTCTTTAGCTTTCCCATGGTATCGTTCAGTGTTGGCCGGGTCCTGTTTAGTTTTCCTACGGTCTCGTTTAGGTTAGCGAGGGTCCTGTTCAGTTGTCCTAGGGCCTCGTTTAGTTTTGGTAGGGTCATGTTTAGTTTTCCTAGGGTCTCGTAGTTGTTTTGGCAGGGTCCTATTTAGTTGTCCTAGGGTCCCGTTTAATTTTGGTAGGGTCCTGTTCAGTTGTCCTAAGGTCTCGTGTTTCGTTTTCCGATGGTCTCGTTTAGTTTTGCTAGGGTCATGTTTAATTGTCCGAACGTCTCGTTTACTTTTGCCAGGGTCCTGTTTACTTTTCCTAGGGCCTCGTTTAGTTTTGCTAGGGTCCTGCTTAGATGCCCCATGGTCTCGTTTAGTTGCGCGAGGGTCATGTTTAGTTTTTTTTCTCTCTCCCTAGGGTCTCGTTTAGTTTTGGTGGGGTCCTGATTAGTTGTCCGATGGTCCCGTTTAGTTTTGGCAGGGTCCTGTTCAATTGTCCTCGGGTCTCGTTTAGTTTTGCTCGGGTCATGTTTCGGTGCCCTAGGGCCTCGTTTAGTTGTGCTAGGGTCCTGCTTAGTTTTCCCGGGGTCTCGTTTAGTTTTGCTAAGGTCTTGTTTAGTTTTCCTAGGGTCTCGTTTAGTTTTGCTAGGGTCCTGTTTAGTTTTCCTACGGTCTCGTTCAGTTCTGGCAGGGTCGTGCTTAGTTGTCCTAGGGTCTCGTTTACGTTTGCTAGGGTACTGTTTAGTTTTCCGGGGGTCCCGTTTAGTTTTGGTAGGGTCATGTTTACTTTTCCTAAAGTCTCGCTTAATTTTGCCGGGGTTCTGTTTAGTTTTCCTAGGGTCTCGTAAATTTTGGGTAGGGTCCTGTTTACGTTTCATAGGGTCTCGCTAAATTTGGTCGGATTGTCCTAGGGTCTCGTTTAGTTTTGGTGGGGTCCTGTTTAGTTGCCCTAGGATATCGTTTAGTTTTGCTGTGGTATTGTTTAGTTGTCCTAGGGTCTCGTTTAGTTTTGCTAGGGTCCTGTTTAGTTGTCCTAGGGTCTCGTTTAGTTTTGCCAGGGCCCTGCTTAGTTTTCCCAAGGTCTCGCTTAGTTTTGCTAAGATCCTGTTTAGATGTCCCAGGGTCTCGTCTAGTTTTGCCAGGGTCATGTTCATTAATTTTCCGAGGGCTCGTTTAAATTTGGTAAGGTTTCGTTTAGTGTCCCGAGGGTCCCGTTTAGTTGTGCCAGGGTCCTGTTTACTTGTCCGATGGTCTCGTTTAGTTTTGCTAGGGTCCAGTTTCGTTGTCCTCGGGTCTCTTTTAGTTTTCCTAAGGTCTCGTTTACTTTTTGGTAGGGCCCTGTTTACTTGCCCTAGGGTCTCGTTTAGTTTTGCTGGGGTCCTGTTTAGTTGTCCTAGGGTCTTGTTTCGTTTTGCGAAGGTCCTCTTCGATTTGGTTTTCCTGCGGTCTCGTTTAGTTGTGCTAAGGTCCTGTTTAGTTGTCCCAGGGTCTCGTTTAATTTGCGGTAGGGCCCTGTCTCGTTTTCCTAGGGCCTCGTTTAGTTTCGGCAGGGGCCTGTTTAGTTGCCGTAGGGTCTCGTCTAGTTTTGGCAGGGTCCTGTTTAGTTGTCCAAGGGTCTCGTTTAGTGCTGGCAGGGTTCTGTTTAGTTTTCCTAGGGTCTCGTTTAGTTTTGCTAGGGTCCTGTTTAGTTTTCCTCTATGGTCTCGTTTAGTTTTGGTCGCGTCTTGTTTAGTCTCACTAGGGTCTGGTATATTTTTTGGTAGGGTCCTGTTGCATTTTCCCACGGTCTCGTTTAGTTTTGCCAAGATCCTGTATAGTTGTCCTAGGGTCTCGTTTAGTGTTGCCAGGGTCCTGTTTAGTGTTCGCTGGGTCTCGTCGTTTAGTTTTGGTGGGGTCTTGTTTAGTTGTCCTAGGGTCTCGTTTAGTTTTTGGCAGGGTCCTGTTTACTTGTCCTAATGTCTCGTCTAGTTTTGGTAAGGTCCTGCTTAGTTCTTCCAGGGTCTAGGTCACTTTTGGCATGGTCCTGTTTAGTGTTCCTAGGGTTTAGATAGTTTCGGCATTGTCCTGCTTAGTTTTCCCATGGTTTAATTAATTTTTGATAGGGTCATGTTTCGTTGTCCTGGGGTCTCGTTTAGTTTTGCTAGGGTCATGTTTAGTTTTCCCAGGGTCTCGTTTAGTTGTGCCAGGGTTTGTTTAGTTGGCCGGGGGTGTTGTTACTGTTGCGAGGGTCCCGTTCGATTTTCCGACGGTAACGTTTAGTTTTGCTCGGGTCCTGCTTATTTTTCCTGTGGTCTCGTTTGGGCCCTGTTGAGGTTCTTTTTTTTTCCAGGGTCCCGTTTAGTTTTGGCCGGGTCCTGTTTGGTTGTCCTAGGGTCTCGTTTAGTTGTGCCAGGGCCCTGTTTAGTTTTCATAGGGTCTCGTTTAATGTTGCCAGGGTCCTGTTTAGTTGTCCTAGGGTCTCGTTTAGTTGTGGTAGGTTCCTGTTTAATTGTCCTAAGGTCTCGCCTAGTGTTGCTAGGGTCCTGTTTAGTTTTCCTAGGGTCTCCTTTAGTTTTGCGAGGGTCCTGTTTAGTTGTCCGAAGGTCTCGTTTAGTTTTGCTAGGGTCTTGTTTAATGATCCTAGGGTCTCGTTTAATTATGGTAGGTCCTGTTTAGTTGTCCAAGGGTCTCGTTTAGTTTTGCTAGGGTCGTGTTTAGTTTTCCGGTGGTCCCGTTTAGTTTTGGTACGGTTCGTTTACTTTTCCTGTGGTATCGTTTAGTTTTGCCAGGGTCTGTTTAGTTTTCCCAGGGTCTCGTAGTTGTTGGCAGGGTCCTGCTTAATTTTCCTGGGGTCCCGTTATTCTTGGTATAATTGTCCAAGGGTCTCGTTTAGTTTTGCTAAGCTTATTTTTAGTTGTCCGTTGGTCTCGTTTAATTTTGCTAGGGTACTGTATAGATATCCTAGGGTCTCGTCTAGCTGTGCGAAGGCTCTGTTTAGTTTGCCGAGGGTCTCGTTTAGTTTTGGCAAGGTCCTTCTTAGTTGTTCCAACGGTTTAGGTTGCTTTTGGCATGGTCCCGTTTAGTTTGCCTTGGGTCTCGTTTAGTTTTGCTAGGGTCCTGTTTTCCTAGGGTCTCGTTGAATTGTGGTAGGGTCCTGTTTAGTTGTCCTATGGTCTCGTTTAGTTTTGGCAGGGTCACGTTTAGTTGTCCGATGGTCTCGCTTAGTTTTGCTAGGGTCCTGTTTAGTTTTCCTGTGGTCTCGTTTGGTAGGGTCTTGTTTAGTTTTCCTCGGGCATCGCTTAGTTTTGGTAGGGTCATGTTTAGTTGCCCGAGGGTCTCGTTTAGTTTTGGTAGCGTCCTCTTTAGTTGTCCTACGGTCTCGCTTAGTGTTGCTAGGGTCCTGTTTAGTTGTCCTAGAGTCTCCTTTAGTTTTGCGAGGGTCCTGTTTAGTTTCCCCGGGGTCTCCTTTAGTTTTGCGAGGGTCCTGTTTAGTTGTCCCAGGGTCTCCTTTAGTTTTGCGAAGCCCTCTTTAGTTTGCCTAGGGCCTCGTTTAGTTTTGGCAGTGTCCTGTTTGGTTTTCCGAGGGTCTCGTTTAGTGTTGCTAGGGTCCTGTTTAGTTGTCCTATGGTCTCGTTTAGTTTTGGCAGGGTCCTGTTCACTTTTCCTGTGGTATGGTTTAGTTTTGGCGGGGTCCTGTTTAGTTGTCCTAGGGTCTCGCTTAGTTTTGGTAGGGTCCTGTTTAAGTTTTCCGATGATCACGTTTAGTGTTGCTAGGGTCCTGTTTAGTTTCCCGAGGGTCTCGTTTAGTTTTGCTGTGGGTAGTTTTCCTAGGGCCTCGCTTAGTTTTGGTAGGGTCATGTTTAGTTGTCCTAGGGTCTCGTTTAGGTTTGGCAGGGTTCTGTTTCGGTTTCCTACGGTCTCGTTTAGTTGTGCTAGGGTCCTCTTTAGTTTTCCTACGGCCTCGTTTAGTTTTGTTAAGGTCATGTTTAGTTTTCCTAGGGTCTCCTTTAGTTTTTGCCAGGGTCCTGTTTAGTTGCCCTATGGGGCCCGCTTAGTGTTGGCAGGGTCCTGTTTACTTATCCCAGGGTCTCGTTTAGTTGTGACATGGTCCTGTTTAGTTGTCCGAGGGTCTTGTTTAGTTTTGCCAGGGTCCTGATTAGTTGTCCTAGGGTCTCGTTTAGTGTTGGCAGGGCTGTGCTTATTTTTCCTATGGTCTCGTTTAAGTTTGCCAGGGTGCTGTTTAGTTTTCCGAGGGCCTCGTTTAGTTTTGGCATGGTCCTGTTTAGTGTTCCTGGGGTCCAGTCTAGTTTTGCTAGGGTCGTGATTACTTCCCGATGTTTAGGTTTGGTTAGGCAGGGTCCTGTTTAGTTGTCATAGTGTCTTGTTAGTTGTCCTATGGTCTTGTCTGGTTCTCCTAGGCCTCATGTAGTTTTGCTAGGGTCTTGCTTATTTGTCTTAAGGTCTCTTTCTGGCAGAGTCCTGTTTAGTTTCCCTAGGGTTCGTATAATTTTGGGAGGGTCTTGATTTATTTGTCCTAGGGTCTCGTTTAGTGTTGCTAGGGTCCTGTCAGGAGCAGCGGCAGCAACAGCATGGCATGTCATGAGCAAGATGTTTCTTGCGCGCGCGCGGAAGTGAAACTTCGAAGCAGTCCAGGGCGCCGCCGCCAAGGAAAACAGAGGCAGCTGGAAGGCAGTGCATCCTGAAAGAAGCGCCAGAGGCAGCTGGAAGTCATTGCACTCGCGCTCACTTCGCCCATGCCCTTTTATTATCCATCTTGTTCTTGCGGGCGAGGATGGGCAGATCCATGTACAGCTTGCACATGTCGCAGGCAGTGCAGTACCCTGCGCCCAGGGCGAACATCTGTGCGAGCGTCACGACTTGTCCTTGTCGCATGTCCACCTCGAACATCCCACTAGCCGCGCCAGAGGCAGCGGGAGCACGACGGAGCAGCGTCGTCTGGCCGTCAGGCTGCCCGTTGAGAATCCACAACGTCGCGCCACTCGAGCCATTTACTGTTGTCTCTCCAGTACAAAAGAACTCCGCGAACTCTCGGTCCTGACGAACTGGGAATGCCACAATCGAGGATGAGTCACGCAATTCTGCCGCACACGCGTCCAGCCAGAGTATCGAACAACTCTGACCTCCCCGTCGTGCTTGTTGAACAAGTGCTTCAAGAATTCTGGGATGCCGCTGATTCCGAACATCTCGCGCAGGTGACCCCACCCGGGATGATCCCGCGGCAGGCGCTCCACACGCGGCGCGCCAGGGGCAGCGGGAATCAAGTTGGGCCAGGCGTTGCAAAGCCAATACTTCCCATCACCCAAAGAAATGTCTTCCCAGGCGTCGGTCAGCTCGCGGAGGTAGTGCATCTGATGTGACGCCCAAGCGCGAACCCACCTTTGGTTCCAGTACTCGGGTGTGTCGTTCCAGTGGTGGATGCCGTCCATCACATCGTCAGGGTGAAGAATGTGCTCGGGCGCCGATGACATTTCCTTGATGAGTCGGGAAAGGCGTCGTCGCCGCTCCTTCACCAGGCCTTGCTCGCACAGCCACATTCTTGCCTCCCGCGGCCAGCTCGAATAATAAGCATTGGAATGAATCACCACACACCACCACCACGCAGTGCGCCAGGCACCAACGCGCATTGCGCCAGAGGCAGCACTCGGCTCCGCGGCCGAGGCAACGCCTTCCGATTCGGAACTGTCGCAGTCGTCGTCGCTGCTGTCGTCCTCGTCGGACAGTGGCACTAAGCGCCGCGTGTTCTTCGCGTCGCCGTCGCTGCTGTCGCCCGAGTCGGACAGTGACGCTAAGCGCCCCGTGTCCTTCGCGTCGCCCACGCGCGGAGGCAGAAGCTGAATCTCCCGCTTCGCTTCCTCGTCGGGGGGCGCCGCGAGCGCTGCAGAGGCAGCGGGCGCGCCAGAGGCAGCGTCGCCTTCGCTGACCCACGTCCCATCATCCTCGCGCCAGGGGAGGACACTTTCCACATCCAGCTCCGTGATGTCGAAAAACACCTGCCGCGCAGCCTTGATGCAGCTTGCTGTCCCCGTAGCCGCGCGCGCCTTGCGTGGGGCCCACCAGATACGCAGCATATCATTGTGAGTCTTTATCGTGGAGAGGCCCAACTTGAAGACCATCCCAATACAAGCGAGGCTGATGGTTAGGAAGAAAAGGCTCCGGTTGCCCTTTGTCGCTCGGCCTCGCGAGTCCTCTGGGCTGTCAATCCAGCCCTCGTTAAGGTGAATGTCCAGTGTGGACGCGAGAGGATGAGAGGAAGCCAACTCGGCCATGCGATGCACATTTGTCGCGTGCTGCATCGTCGCGCCAGTGGCAGCGTCTGTGTACACCCTCAAGTCATCACCCGCGCGCCCCACTGGGGGCACTGCCTGTCCTGGGCGAAAGTCGCCAGGAAACCCAGGGAAATCAATTTCCTGGGAGAGAGGAATGAGGATATCTTCGCGAATGCACGCGTTGCCGACGATGTGCGTGTAGACTCCTCCTGCAACCTGATCTTGGACTTCACAAAGGCCCCCCGATGGAGCCAGAACCTGGAGGTCGACATAATTTCTGCAGGGGTGCTTCTTTCGCCACTGCAGCGCGCGGTTTCTCATATTGTCCGCCTCCTCCAATTCGAGGCCAAGGCCCTCGGCGCCAGAGGCAGCCGGGTGCGAGTCCAGGGCGCGCTTCTCCATGCTGCCCCGCGCGCGGCGCCTCGGGCGCCAATGCCAGAGGCGTTGTTGAGCCGAAAAGGCTGCGATGGACGACCGCGATGGCGGCTGCGAACATGAGGGTGAGGATGTGGGTGGGCACCGAGAAGTCTAAGAGGTGAAAGCAAGGGTAGCGTGAGGCGGGCGTGAAGCCGAGCAGGAAAATGACCTCGGGGCAGAGGGCGACGGTGAGGAATATGAGGGCGGGAGCGAAGCTGAGGATGAAATATCCTCGGGCAAGGGTAAGGAGTCGGTTGGATTGCAGAGAGCGAGGGCGAAGTCGGAAGCAGCGTCAGCATCAAATGGTAGCTCGCACGATGGTTGAGAGGCGCAGTGGCTTCTTTAACATTGAGATGGCGCAGATGAAGAGTCACTCTTGCCATCTACGCAAGGACCACGGGGCGCCAGAGGCAGCCGCACAATTGCGCCAGAGGCAGCAACCGTCAGCACGACATGTGCACGAGAATGAAACGCTCCGCACTGTCAACGCAAGGACGGTGCAGACACCCTCTTTCGCAACAACCTTCATGCGAGAATTTACCCCTCAGAGCCGATGCCACCAGGCCCCTCTCGGAAGCGAGTGTTCCAGGGACCACTCGCGTGGCCAGGGGCGCGCCAGGGGCCGCGCTGTGGCGCGCCAGAGGCAGTGCGTCGCCCACTCTTCGTCATCCTCGCCAGAAGCAGTGTGTCGCAGGAGCGGCAGCAGTAGAAGCTCGAGGAGGCGGATCAGCAGCAGCACCAGCAGCCGGCAGCAGCGCCAGAGCATGAGCGTTCCTTTTTTTCCCGCGGCGCGCCGCGCCAGCGGCGCAGAGCGCACCTAGCTGATACGGAGCCCCGAGTCTGCCGAACCCTGGGCCAAACGAGGGAAGCGCCAGAGGCAGCCTGCAAGCCATTTCTGCGTGAAAAGATATTAGCGCCAAAGGCAGCCTGGATCAGTTGACGGCCCCGGTGCGCCATTCATCTTCTTGCGGCCTGGCTCTACGGGAGCCGTCTCCTCGTCGCCCAGGCGGCCCCCCCCCTCCGCAGACGCTGCCGCTGCACCGCCGGCTGCGCTGGAAGATTCCCCGCCCGCGCTGCCTCGTGCCCTCGAAGAACTTGCGCCGGAGATGTCGTCAGTGCGGCGCGCGCCAGAAACAGCGTCTCCGAGAGCCGCTAATCTTGCCTTGTTGCGAAAGTACCATTCGCGACTCATCCGTCGCTTCCTAGTGTGAGCGCCCTAGACCTTTTCGTGGATCTTCCCAGAGCTGTCCGCGATCACTGGCTTCGCCTGTCGGTGGACCTTCAGCGGGAAGTTCTTGTCCTGGAAAACATCCGTCTTGTCGTTTTTGTCCTGCGCACGCGCGCCAGAGGCAGCGGCGACAGCCTCAGCAGGCAGCTCCACGTTCCCGACGCCGTCCGCGAGCGCCTTCAGAGTCGAAGTCAAATCTTCGTACTTGCGTTTGTACTCCGACTTCTCCTCCTTGAGCTTGCGGATCTCCAGCTCCTTCTCTGCGAGCGCCAAAGCCAAATGCTGATTATCCTGCATGCGCGCGTCGTACTCTGCGGCGGCGGAACCGCAGCCGCCAGCAGACGTTCGCGCGCGCCCCATGGCGCGGACGCCTGCGCGAGGAGGAAAGCTGGAGCAGAAGAAGAGCTGCGAGAGGCCAGCGGTAAGCGATGCCAAGGTCAGCGCGCTTGCGTGACTTCACCCCATATGGCAACGTCGAGCTGGGCATGGATTATCTGTCGGGAACACTACACAAACACGAGGAAACTAAGCACGACCCAGGAAAAAACCCAACTCGACCATGAGAAAACGAAACACGACCATGAGAAAACGAAACACGACCACGGCAAAACTAAAGACGACCAGAACAAAACTAAACGCGACTATAGGACAGAACTACCAAACACGACCAGGAGAAAACTAAGTAGGCTTAAGAGAATACTACCATAGGAACGCCAAACACGACAAGGAGAAAACGAAGCACGACCAGGAAAACACTACACACGACCAGGAGGAAACTGAACGCGACCATAGTAGTAAGAGGTAAACTAAACACCACGAAAGAAATGAAAGAAGACGAGGAGAACAGTAAACAAAAACGAAAAGTTCACAGAGGCAGCAACAATGCACAGAGAGCACAATGATGCGAGTGGCGATGACGCCGACGAGGACGATGTCGTCGGCGGTTTTCTTCTTTCGCCCGTGCGCAGGCGAGCGTGCTCAGCAGCGACGCGCTGCGCGCAGAAGTAAGGAAGCGCCAGAGGCAGCTAGGGCAGAAGAGAGCAAGTGCCCTAAAGGCGCGCCAGAGGCAGCGACCCGGCAATGCCGCGCTCTCACCCTTGCCGCCTGGGCAGGCGCCAGGTCCCTCTCTCCTGAAACTGGAGGCGCCGGGCATTCCTGTTGAGAACAGCCTGCTCCGACTGCAATCGGCCGTGGCTTTTCCTACGTACGAACATCGGTTGTTGGAGGTACAACGTGTACAGGTAATGGCAGGAACATAGGAGGCATCCGTAGTTGAACAGCTCCGCAAGTGTTATGTAATGGCCCGCCCTGCTGTACCACGTCTCGCCAGAGGCAGAGGTGACGTGGCCCATTTCACGCTTGAGAACGTGGGTCTCGCCATCCTCCATGTCAAGGACCTTGTCGATTTCCTCCAGAGGCAGGAATTCCGTCTTCCTTTTCGCATTCGCCCAAGCCAGATACTCACGCGCACGCTCGGTCTGAACCAGTTGGTGATGCCAGAAATTGACGTGGAAGAGCATCTCCACGTGGCCAGGGTCCACCTCGGTCCATGCGATGCGCCCCCAGTGCCGCGCCTCGCCGCTGTGCTTCTCGAGGACGTGGTGGACGTGCCTTTCGTCGCTGCGAATGCCGGCCACGCGCTTCGATAGCTCGAAGGCCTCTGTCGCGAGCGCCGCCCGCCCGTCGCCGAGCACGGCATTCGGGCATGCGTCGGCGAAGGGCGCGACAGGCGCGCCAGAGGCAGCGTCAGGCCACAGCGCCTCCTGGAGCCGCTTCTTGTAGTGTTGTTTCTTGGAGGCCACGGCGCGCACGACGTCCCAGTTCTGCCCCGCGTTTTGTGGGTCGTTGCTTCGGTGGGCCACGCCGTAGCGAAACTGCCACAGCGTAGGGACGGGCTCGCAGAAAACGTCGAGGCATTTCAGAAGCGCATAGCCGTTTTCGTCCTGCCGCTGCGGCATTTGCCAGTTACGGACATGAGCTCTTGCGTTCGCTTCCCAACTCGCCCTGTTGTCGACGAAATGGTTATCCTTAGGCCTGTTCGATCGGCAGATCGTGCGCAGCTCGGCCTTTTGAGCCTCGGGCAAACGCGACAAGGCCCGCTCAGACAGAGGAGTCGTCAGTGACACCAAACCGGGGTCGTCGGTGACACGAGCAACAAAGTCTTGGTCGCCAGGGGCACCAACCTCTGACTCGCCCCCTGATTCTGATGCGGCAAGATCTGACTCGTCCCCTGATTTTGATGCGCCAGAGGCAACTGACGCGCAAGAGGATGCAGGAAGATCCGCCTCGGTCGGTCTCGGCTGGCTTCTGGAGCGTATCCTCGTCCGCCGCTGAGGCTCTTCCGTCCGCTGTTCGCCCCTCCCCCGTTTCGTCGTGTCCATCGACTGGCTTGCAGGCGGAGGCGCCGCGATCGCGCTGCCCGAGGGCGTCGTTACCGAAGGCGCAGCATAGCCGCCAGAGGCAGGCAGGGGCGGCGCGGCGGCAGCAGCAGCAGGCGCGGACATGTGAAGAGCCTGGAGGTCCTGCCCTGGCGGCGGCGGCGGCGAGCTGGCGGCCGGCCGCGGCGGCGGCGACGAGCTAGCAACGTCAGTTGCCATTGCGCTCATCGATGCCAGCGGGGGTGGCATGACACGCGCGCCAGAGGCAGCGGTGCTGGTATTCTGTGAAGTCGCCGCGGCAGGCGGCGGCGCGGCCTCCTGAGGCGCCGCAGGCGGCAGCGCCTGCGGCGGCGCCGCGGCAGGCGGTGCCGCCACCTGCGCCAGCCCAGGAGGCTGCGGCGGGTACTGAGCTGGAGTTGCCGCGGAAGCAGCTGGCGCAGCAGGACCAGCAGCTGCAGCTGGTAAGGGGCCTGCCACACCCGCAGCAGCTGCAGTTGGCGCAGGAGCAGCTGGCGCAGTGGCAGCAGGAGCTGCCGCAGGAGCAGCAACGGCAGCAGCTGCAGCAGCAGCAGAAGCGGAGAACGCGCCAGAGCCAGCGGGCGCGGCAGAGGCAGCGGACGCGCCAGAGGCAGCGGAGTCGTTTGGGAGAGCCTGAAAGTCGTGGGCGTATAGTGCTGGAACCCGATGTTCGCCTTCCATCAAGTCGAAAAAGACTGCCCGGGCCACATCCTCTTGCTCCCGCGAGAGCTTCGCCTTACTGGCAGGCTTCCACCACAAACCGAGCAGGCCATGAGCAGCCAAATCGTCACGCACAACTTTGCGGGTTTCGTTGACGGAGCATCCGACGATGATCTCCACGCGGCACGCCACCACCAACTGCAAATCACATGGTGACTGGTGCCATTTTTCTGCGCGACCAAATCTGTCTTTCTTCTGTGGGTGATTATCTTTATCATTGGGTCTTTTTTCACCATCAGAGATCATGGGGTGGCTCCTGGCCAGAGACGCGATCCTGTGGATGTCCGCCCGGCGCATGCGCGTCTCCTGCCCCGCGCCAGAGGCAGCGACCGAATATTGAGGCGACGTTGTCTCAACACCGTTAATACCTATCACTGAGGTCACGTCGTGAGTAGGCACGAGGAACGGCGTCATCCACGATTCCTGGACGACCTTGCCATTTGAGAAATTGGTGTACGCACACCAAGGCCTCTGGCCCTCTTTGGTTGGCCTTCCATGGTTTTGGAATAGAGGGGGGCACCAGGTCTCACGGGGTGTATTTGTCGCCAGGACCTCCAGGACTCGGCTGACGACACCACCCGGAGGTCATCCACCACAGAAGAATGCGCGCCAGAGGCAGCCTGCTCCGCCGCGCCGCGGCGACCCATCGCGGCTAACGCGCCGCGTTCGCGCCGTCCCCGCTGGGGCCGGCAAACGCGACGGACATGCGGGAAGAGCAGGTGGAGGACGAGGAGACCAGCAGCAGCAGCACCAACAACAGGAGCAGCAGCAGGAGAAGTTGGAGGAGGCGGAGCAGCAACAGTGGCAGCAGATGGCAACAGCAGC